TTTTTTTTTTTTTTTTTTTTTTTTTTTTTTTTTTTTTTTTTTTTTTTTTTTTTTTTTTTTTTTTTTTGTTATCAATCTTACTTTTGAGTCCATGCCTCCCCATTGATTGGAGAGAGCAACGAGTGCCAACGAGGACGCTGGGCCCTGAAGGGGGTGAATTGTAAGATCCCACATCGGTTGAAGAGGAGAACGAAACATTCTTCATAAGGATGTGGAAACCTCTCACTAGCAAACGTGTTTTAAAAACCTTGAAGAGAAGCCCGAAAGGAAAAACCCAAAGAGGACAATATCTGCTAGCGGTGGACTTGGGCTAGAATATACAGATTTGTTACTTAACCAAAAAAAATCCTTCTCTCTTTATCTACTTTTAATATTTCATAGTTCTGCTCTACCATTTTATGGAAACTGGTTTCTTTTTGCAGGCGTCATTTCTTTCATTGAATTTGGTCACATTAGCAGAACAACTTACAAAACTAAATGTAGCAGAGAGGCTGTTTATCGAGGAAGATATATTACCCTCAGAACTGGTATGCCTGATGTTTCACTAGCTTGAATGGACTATTAACCGATGTTAGGAGTGATCTTTAATTGCATCAAGTTAATTGTTAGCTTCTTTGATTAACCATTAAAAATGCTCTTCTTCCTTTGTAATTCAGAAGTTAGCAAGTGGTCCTTGAAAGTCAAATATTGGTCTGAATTTGAATTACAGACAATGTTTTTTCCTTGCTACAGCGTGCAGAGATAAAGGCGGTCTGTGATCAACGGTCATCCGCAGTGCAAACATATGATAGTCAAGAGGGAATGAGAAACATTGAAATATCATCTGACACAGAATCCTACGAGAATGGAAACGTCGAAGATGGAATTCGAGATGTGACCAAAGCTTCTTCGTCGAGCTATTTCGGAAGTATCCATCAAGATCCAACCTTCAATCCATCCCCAATTTCATCAAATCAGGTCCATTATAATGCTCATCCAATTGAGTTGCCAATATCCAGCCAAACTAACACACGAAAGTACACTGAACAACCCAACACGAAGTTCATAATTGAAAACGCCAACCAAAAGACCCCTATGTTTGAAGCAACAACTGCAGAAGCAGAACTGGATATGCTTCTGAACTCATTTAGTGAGACAATGGACGTCGATACCCCAGCTGCTGGGAGTAGCTCGTTCGACATAGATGAAGTCTTTAAGGCCACACCTCACATCCCAATTAAAGGTTCAAATTCAGGCAAGAAGGCACCCATTACTGCAGAACTTGATGATGCCTTGGATGACTTGCTCCAAGATACATCCCATCTAGTACCTCATAAAGAAAAGCCTGTCAACAACAGTCATTCTGGAGCCAACTCCATTTCAAAGCATGACTTCGATTCGTGGCTTGACTCAATCTGAGCTCTGTAAGTAAACAAATTTCTCACCCATGTAACCTACTTTGCTGTGTGAAAATTTAGTCTGCTTAGAGTTACTTGTTTCATTTTTCGACAATATTACACCTTTAGTCTTTAAGCGAAGTTACTAATATTTTAACCTTAAAACTCTACTGAGGTCGGCATTGTTACTCATTCGACTTGAATCTTAGATCTCTTTAAACCGTCTGATCGTGCTAACCATGTCAATTTGCTTCTAGAAACTCACATTGTGAGGCCCCTAACAAGCCACCATTACGAATCAAGTCATCCAAATGGTGGTTGGATTTGGTTTAATATTTTCTTGATAAAGTAAGTTTTAGATGGAGATTGAAATCTTGACGGGTTCTTATACAGCCATTAATAAACAGTTCTGAATTGCAGCTGCTGTTGTTAGGACTTCAGTGGTTGGCTATTATATTCTGTGGCTGATTCATTTCCTTAATAAAACCAAATTCAAACCAACTGGCATCTACTGTTTTTGTCTCTGTCTGTCTTTATTATTATTATTATTATTATCATTAGTATGGAAATATCTGTTCTAGTTTCTACAGGTATGAATTTCAGATGATAAATATCAGCATTTTGCAGAATTTTTCTGAAATTTTGATGAACTTTCTTTTTGGGATTGTTTCAATTTTTTTTGTTCAATAATTTGTATAAATCGCCTCTAAACCGTGAACTTATAACTTGATCGTTCTCGTAATTTGCTAAGTGTTATAATCACACTCGTAGCCTTTTTAATGTAACCAATCAGGCTCGGTACTTTGGTTGATTATAACACTTGACAAAATACAGGTGGGTGGGTAATTAATACGTGCAGGAACACGTATGACAATTATGATTTAATAATCATAAACATGTCATTGGAACGTTGGATGAAAAGTCAACGTATGTTCTTCTTTCAAACTTAATTTAAATAAACATTTTAGTCATGGTCGCATCGCTTCATGTGGTTGCTATTGTCCAACATTTTAATGGATTTTTACGAGATTAATAATAAATAAAAAGGTTTAAATTAATTATAAATTATTAATTAAAAAGATAAATTTAATATTTAGAACAGTCTAAAATCAATAGGTTTTTTCCATTGTTTGGTAATGTCGGCGGAAGATTAAACCCTAATCACTAATTAAGCTTTTAATTATCATTTAATACTTGTTTAGTTAAAAGGGACCACACCTATTGTCTTGAGTTCGTTGTCGCTTTGTTCTATTTTTCATTGCATGTGGAATGCCATGTGCAAAGTGTAAAAATCTTATCCAATTTTGTTATATATTTATATCAAAACTTAAAATTTAAAATGGTTGGGCACGTGATGACCCTAACAATATGAGCGAGAGTCAAAACTACTATACCTATAACTCGATTGATTTGAGAAATAGTCATACTTAGGTACGAGAGGAGAACAAGTGTCAGTGAGAACGTTGGCCCTGAAGAGGTTAGATTGTGAGATCCTATATCAGTTGGAGAAGAGAACAAAATACTTTTTACAAGGGTGTGGGTGACAACTATATGTAACGGGCCAAAACGAACAATATCAGCTAGAAGTGAGCTTGACTTGTTACATTAACTATCATATCTTTAGGATTGTTCCCACTCCCTTCATTATTCATGTACCATGTAAATATATTCAAATTTGTATACTAATATCAAAATTTTCGATGTTTTGACACTCGATGGCCCTAACTTCAAAAACTGAAATCCGTTCTTTTATAATACATTGTCCTCACTCTAGTAAAACTTAAAGAAGGTTAGTTGAACACAACTCTCTAGGATGGTATGATATTGTCCACTTTGTACATAAGCTCTCATGGTTTTGCTTTGAGCTTTCCAAAAGGCCTCGTAGCAATGGAGAGAGTATTCTTTGTTTATAAACTCATGATCATCATTCCCTAAATTACTCTCATTTAGATATGGTATTGGTTAATTCAAATGTCATATAAAATACGACACCCGAGAGAAAAATGATGGGAGATTATTTTAAATTTATATGCATATATAGATAGAGAAAAAATTACAAGAAAAAAAAAAAGGGGGAAAATTACAATAAAAAAAAAAAGAAAAGAAAAAATGAATGCATATATGAGTAGACAAAGCGCACACAAATCACAAAATAGTGTTTCTCAACTCAACGTCACATCTCAAGAAAGAACACTAAAGGCAATCAAACCAAATCCTAAAACCAATTCCAAACCGACGCCGTTTCTCGGAGCCGCATCCTTATGATCCGCCGGCGAGTGGGCAGCATCAGATTTCGGCGGTGTTTCGCCATCGGCCGGCGATTTTTCGCTTGCCGGACCCGAAGCTTTCGGAGGAGGGGCAGCGGGGTGGTCGCCGAAAAGAGCCTCCGGCAACAAAACTTGCTCCACTGCGTAAATAGACAACGGAGACTGCTCTCTGACCTTGTTGTTGACGGCCACCATGACGACGCCGGTGGACACGTTGACTTGGTTTGCTTGGCCGGTGAAGTTCAACCCCCAGTCTCCGGCGAGTGTCCTGACCGGGTTACTGACGGTCTGGAGGTCCGTCAAGGTGTAGAACTGGATCGAAACCAAATTGAAATCAAAAAACAACAAATACCCAATTAATATTGTTCCTTAAAATTGAGAAATTGAAGATGAAATTACCTTAGTCAAAACATGGTAAAGCAATAATTGGGTCTTTTCCTGGTCGTTGAGGCCATTGAGGGCGCCTGGCTTAAGGGAATTGAAGGCATTATCAGTGGGGGCAAGAATGGTCATCCCCTGAGGAGTGTTGTTGAGCTGATTATCAAGCTGGGTGTTGATTTTGGTTTCGTTGAGGAGGCGGATGAGCGTCGTGAATTGGCCGCCCTTTTCGAGAATGCCGGTTATGTTCAGTGGCCCCGGCGAGGAAGGAGCGGGAGCCGCCGGGGTTTGGGCCAGAGTGGTAACAGAGAAGAGAAGGAAGGGGAGGAGGAGGAGGAGAGCGGTGGAGGCCATGGCGGAGAGGCGGCGGCGACGGTGGAGTTAGTGTTGGAGGATTGATGATTTTATAAGGGAGATGGGGATAGTGGGGGAGGTGAAAGTGGGGTTGGATGTGAGCTGGATTTAATGGCGACAACTCATAGCTTGAGGCAATGGAGGAGAGAATAATTGGAAAATAGGCGTATTTTGGTACGCGTCTCTTAAATAAATTAACAAAAAATAGGTTTTTATTAGTTTTTGATATGTCTTCATGGGCCCATATGTGTTTGAACCCAATGGGCCTTCAATCTTGGGCTTCTATTGAGTCTCCACAACTTTATTTGTAATCACACGCTAAGTATCGTGTACTTATACCTGTGTGATGTCCCACATTGGTTGGGAAGAGAACAAACCACCATTTATAAGGGTGCGAAAAACTTCCTCTAGCAGATGCGTTTTAAAGCCTTAAGGGGAAACTCGAAAGGAAAAGCCCAAAGAGGACAATATCTGTTTGGTGTGGGAAATCTCACGCGTTTTAAAATTGTGAGATTGATGTTGATACGTAAGGGCTGAAGTGGATAATATCTACGTACCGGTTTGGGCTTGTGATTCAATATTTGGAGTGTTCTCCAAATATTACTTGAGAAGACAACATAGTCTTTATTATTCGTCCTACAAATTTGACTCTAGGTTGGTTTCTTTGGTTATGTCTAGCCTTATTTTTGTAGATAGGCTATGACAACTACTTCCCTTTACGAGTTGACTCTTAATCTTGCTGGGATGCATTGTCCTTGTTTGAGATTGATACTTGTCGATATAGGACACTTGGTCTTGGAGATCTCGTTGAGCCATTTTCTCTAGGCAATGAGACTTTCTCTCCTTCAATCGGAGAGGCCTTACCCTTGATATGACTCAGGATTAAAGGAGCTAGGTGTTGTGTCATAGGCAATTAGTCTTGTCTAGATCTATTAATCGGTATATCTCTTTTTGGCCTATCCTAGAGATCGTTAGACAATGCCTCGGGAGTTTGGTTGTCATAAGATTTTATTATTGTATTAGACACCAATTTTAGAGATGATCAAGCCTACTCCTAACATATATTGTTTTCTCTCCAATCATTGTGAGATCTCACAATCCACCTCTTCTTCTAGACCCAACATTCTCACTGACACTCATTCCTCTCTCCAATCGCTATGGACACCCTCATTTGTGGCCCAACATCCTCAGTGTCCACTCCCTTTAACCTTTCCATAGCATACATATTTTAAAATTTTTGAGGAAAAGTCGAAAGAACATATGCTAGCGATGCGCTTAGGTTATTAGATAAGACTTTATTGTTGCATCAAACACGAGTTCTAGAGATAATCAAGACTTAACTAAATGTACTGATGTTGTTTAACGTCCTTAAAACAAATAAAATCCTACTTAAACTAATAAAAATATGTTCTTTAAAAAAAATTTAAAACTAAATTTATAAGATTACCCATAAAATTTGTTCTTATTAAGCTTAAAAATAGTTGGGAGTAGTAATAAGGTTAGGCCATGTGATGTTCATTGCCTATATATCCAAATTAAATTCAATCCCCGAGATCTGATCTTCCTTAAGACGACACCGCAGAACTCCCTCCATTGCCAACCAACCCGTTTTTCCTTTCAAATTGTATAAATTCTTCTTCTTCTACTTCCAGATCCTCTGAAGTTCCCCTGTTTTTGAAGAAACCCTCAAATCCCAGAAGCTTCAAACATCGATCGGTGTTCAATTGGCGGTGGTGGATGGCAAAAACCAACAAATACACCTCCATCAATTTCAATCACATCTACGACAAGAATCTCTCCTCCAATTCCAAAACTGGCACTAATCTCTCCAAAAACCCCTCTTCTTCTTCTTCTTCTTCTTCTTCTTCTTTCGCTAGCAAGTCCCATGGCCGCATGCTCGTCCTGACCCGTCCTACCCCCAAACCCATCACCTTGCCTCCGGTTCTTTCCCCCCAGCCGCAATCTCGACCCTCATCCGCCGATCATCGAGAACTTCGGGATCGACCCCGTTCGCAATCTGGTTCTGATTCCATCTCTCTGCGCCCTCTCGAGCAGACTGGTACAGGCGCGATCGCTCCGTCTCCGATTCCGAGCTTGGAAAAGGAGAAAGAGATTCCTCCTCCTCCGGCGGTGACGTTGCATAAACCGGAGAAATTTGTGCCACCACATCTTAGGGCGGGTTTCGTCGGGAAGGAGGAGAGACCTGTGAACGTTGGGATCCGACCTAGAGAGGTGAATCAGAGGCAGTATGGGAATTACGGGTCTCCAAATCGGTATGCTGAAGATGGGAGGCCGAAATCCGGTGGTGGGTATGAAAGGATGAGAGGGGCGGGTGAGGCACGTCTGGGGACGGTGGTGAATCGGCCACGTTCCAGTGGGAATCGCCCGAGTTCTAGTTGATGGTATGTTTCTTCCGAATACTTGCCCTTTCACCGTTTAACTGAGATGATGTTGGCTATGGCTTTTGAGTTTTATGAGTAAATTGTAGAGCAGATGGCTCCTTTTGACTCAATTAATTGGGATTATTGAGACACAAACGTGAAGTTAACTGTACTTAGAATTTAGGACCCCTTTTGATCCTGGATTTTAGACATGGAGTTGCCTTCTTTGGGTGCCCTTTTACTACTGTTTAAGTGAGATTCTGTTGTTTATGGCTTTGATTTCTTTTTTTTTTTTTTTTTTTTTTTTTAAGAAAATTTAATATACTTGTTTCGTAGCTTTGTATATATCTATTGGTTGAGGATTGCTTGTCACCTACTCTTCAGCTTACACTCTCTCTCTCACGTAGAAAGAAAGGAAAGGGAGGAAGGAGGAGAAGTTTCATACTCTGTTTTCTCTTTGTGGGTTTCCCTTCCCCCTGTTTTGTCAGAAAAAGAAAAAAAAATATCTTTCTTTCTTTTTTTTGTTTTTTGTTTTTTGTTTTTGTTTTTTTTTTTTTTTT